GTCTGAGGCGTTTTCGGCACGGTTTGGAGACGGCAGGCGAGGGATGGTTGGGGAACGACCAGCTGACCTCGAAGCCGCGGTGGAATCTCCCGGTCCCTCTTGGACCTGCCTCGTCCACCTCTCCACTTCTCACACTCCTGCTCCCTCGGGTGGTATTGACAGGGGTCTCTAATGTGCTCTCTGGTTAGCAATGACCTCTGGACCTGCCAGAGGGCAAATCCAGACTGATGAGTTGGTTTTCCCCCAAGAAGAGCCACCTCCATCCTGCTTTGACCTCCTGCGCTGCTCAGGCCAGTCCAGCCCCGCTCCTGTATTGCTGGGCGTCGAGGCTCACCGAGGAAGTAGGTATCTCGCAGAGAGATCAGTTGTGCAGCTTTGCTGCGAGTTATGATCACTGAGAACTTCAGGTTGTCCTTGGGGCTTCCTTCCCAAAAGCTGGCTTTATGCTAAAGCAGCTGCAGGAAAAGCCAGCTATTTGATCTACCAGGAGATAGCGTTTTGTGACACTAGTTCATTGTAAGATGCTAATCACAATGTTACATATGCATGGAAGCTATTGTCCTGACCCAAGAAAGCTTTTTATGAAACACTGCTATCTTGTATTAAAAAATAAAAAAGCAGCAAGAAACACCACTGAAATGCATCTGTCTTCAGGGTAGGACATGACTGCTACATGACAGAGAACAGCAGAGCTATTTGCTGACCAAAAAATTGAAGGCTGAGCAGCAGCAGCAGCATTTATTAGACACACTGAATTTTCATTTTGGCTAAATACCCTCTGCTGACTGAAATTTTGCTAGGATGGCAGGAGTGCAGATGCCTGTCACAGAAGGAGTTACAATACTAATACCTAATGTATGTGTTTCACTTTTCTTTAAAAAAAACCTCAAACCTACATTTTTACTCTGAGAGGTGGCATGTGTTGGTAACAGCACCAGTCTCATTTTCTCTCTGGGGACAGTGAGGGATGGCTGTTCTTTTCTCTGCTTCCCAATCTGGCACTTGACTACGGAGCCTATGCTGCTGACCCCAAAGGAGACAGAACTCCCACCTCCAAGGTGAGACACAGATAATTATTTTCCAAGCTGAAGCAGCTCAGCCAGAAGGCAGTAAAGAAGCTGAGTAGGACCCAGCCAGCAGCCCTGGGAAAGCACAGCACTAGGGGAGGGTGAAAATGAAGAAGGGGGGGAATGCTATTTTTCCCCCTTAGAAAACTTACTTAGTGAGTGTAAATACAATCTTAAAATGCATAGAGGTTTGAAGAAAACCCATCTGTTATGGTTTGCCATGGGAGTGAAATAGCCATCAGTTCAGCAGAAAGCATTTTCTCCTTTACAAAGGTGAGTATTGATTCAGGGGAAGACTGTCAATTCTCACATACGCGCTTCTCCACAGACATACATATACCATTTTGCAGGCAGACAAGTGTGACCTTTGTTGTCACATCTTTGGGGAAGACAGAAAAAGGGAACTGGTTCCTCCCCCACAAGCAAGCCACCCCTCCCACCATTGCAAGCAGCAGTTTTCAGTTCACATGTTTCTCCTCCTGGCCCTCCTGAATCCATCAAACTGATAACCTTGTTGTGCCTGGGTCACTGGGTCTTGGGTCTCCTTCTGCCCTCAGCTGACACCCTCTCTTCAGCCTCTCCTGTGTTACATCCTCATTTCCTTTGCAATGTCGTTCAGGTCATCTACATGCTGATGCAAGAAAGAAAACCTGTTCGTTTCCTCAGCAAATTTATGATCTTTTCCTTCTTGAAACCTGAAGAACAGATCTGAAAGCTTTTCATATGCAATTACATCAGCTTCTGTATTTTAGAATATCCACAGATGTGAGCATGAATTTGAACTACTCCATATCAAGTGGCTGCTGACTGGGCACAAGCACATTTAAGCTGGAAATCAGAAGTTTCTAGCTGTGAGAACAATCAGATTATGGAACACACCTCCTGTCAGAAGGGTGAGAGGAAAAGAATGAAGTCGTTTTTAGTAAGCTCTTCAATGGGATGGTCTAACACAAAGCCTGTAAGAGAAAGGTGTAGGATGTGGTGATGTACAGGTGAACACCAAATAACATATCCAGTAATGAGACTAAGTCAGTCCCTAGTGAGACTCTGCTCAGGGTCTCTGATTAGGCTGTCCCTACTGCTTTGGGGTCACATCCCTGAAGCCAAAATAAGTAATGAAATGACAATAGAAACTAAAAATTACACAAGTATCAGTTTGAAATGCACGTTCAGAAGTCACTCCACCTACATTCCCAGAGGCAGGATAGAAACATTGGTGCCACTCAAGCATGTGTTTGCCTTACCTGCCCTTACACACCAGGGATGCTACCACCTCCTCGGTACCTGTTACACTGCTCATTGACTGAGAGCTGGGGAGGTTTCCCTGCTCTTTATAACCTAACTGAGCTTCTTGCATCTTGACCTATTCTCAGGAGATTTGGGGAACAGTTAATCAGCATCTTTCTTATAACAATCTTATATATTTGAGGTTCAACATCATATTCCTTCTTATGTTTTTGCTTGCTAGACTCAATCCTCTTCTTTTAACCCTATGCATATTGTACCTTTTATACTGTTTGTTAACTTCCTCCAGTCCAAACCTAGACTAAGCCTTTCTTACTGAGCCTTTCTAACTTGAGGGTATTGAGAAAGCAAAAAAATTACCTTCCTTGTCTTATAGGCAGTATGCCCTAATAATACAGCCAAGAATGAAAATTGCCTTTTTGCACAATATATTCACAATGGTGAATCATATTCACTTCACGGTCCTGTAACCCCTCAGTTGGATTCCTCAGTGCTGTGGTCTAGCCAGCTGCTTCCCATTTCTTTACTGGTACATAAAATTTTGTCCCCTTCTCTGTGCAGTATTTCGCATTGGTTTTACGGAATTTTATCTGGCTGATTGTGAGCTGTTTCTCCAGTTTCTCCAGGTATTTTTTTTTACTTTCCTGCCTTCAGTCCTGTGAGCTCTTCCAGACTTGGGGCCAGCTATGTATTTTATAAACATACTTTATTTCATCATCTAAGTCATTGAGGAAACTAGTTGATGGATCTGGCCAGGCACCCCTGGGACTGATCTCTGTAAGTCCTCCTGGTCTGACAGCAAACTGATAACTAGTTTCAGAGCACACACCCGTGACAAATATCAAACATGATCATTTCAAAAAGTCTTGCTACGCATCAGGATAGCCTGCATTGCTGGATCTGCTCTCTCCACTATTCTGGTTACTGTGGCAAAGAAAGTTAACTAGCTTGACGTGATTTGTTCTTGGCTTTTTCTCCGCTGGCTTTTTCTGATCACTTGATTATCTTGAAGTGATAAATTGATTATTTAATAATTTGTTCCGTGTTCATTGAGGAGATGGAAAGGTAATGACTGAGAAATCAACATTTTCAAGAAAGTTTAGGGACACTTGCTGATTTTTATCAGGGCAGTGCTGACTTTGAGGGTAATTTAATAGAATAGACATTAAGTCTTCTCTAGCAATTAAGTCTTTACTAGTAAATTAAACAACATCAGGAAACGTTCCCAGGATACAAACTCAATCATCAATATTAAGTGTCAGCACTTCCCCAGCGTGATTTGTCTTGGTCCCACTAGGACTGTCCCAGACAATTTCCAGGCATGATTTGGAAGTTATCATAGGCAGAGGACCATTCCCAACAGACTTTTGCATGAGGTCAGTCTGTTTCAGAGGTGAAGAGAGTTTAATAATACGGATGTGAGCCATTTGGTGCTAGTTGGCAGGATGTGTCTAGGGGAATGTTCCTGGGCACTCCTGATTTACTGCCTTCCTACCTCTTTTTGCCCTCTCCATCTGCAAGATTCACTGTGCTTTGTAAGCACAAATGAATCAGTCCTCTGACAAGTCTAAGAGGAAGCTGAGGGCAGACATCTCACTTAATAGATGTGAAAAGTGAGGCAGTATCTAACCCAATCTCTGCTGCAAGTGAGTAGCTGGACTAGCGTTGAAGGCAAGGGCCTGGCCTCTTATCCTTGTCTGGACTGTGGGGAGCAGTCCTTCATCCCCCAAGCATGTCCTTCCCCAGCTTGTCAGGCAATGCCTCATGAACAGGAGGGGACCTTCCAGGGACCTTCTAAGAACAGGTTTCTCCAGTGTAGAGGGTGTCCAGCTCTAGCCCAGTGCAAAAACTCAACATGACCTGGCAATGTGCGCTTGTAGCCCAGAAGGCCAATCGCATCCTGGGCTGCATCAAAAGAAGTGTGGCCAGCAGGGTGAGGGAGGTGATTCTGCACCTCTATTCTGCTCTGGTGAGACCCCACCTGGAGCACTGTGTCCAGTTCTGGGGCTCCCAACGTAAGGACATCGAGCTGTAGGAGTGGGTCCAGAGGAGGGCCATGAAGACGATCAGAGGGCTGGAGCACCTCCCCTATGAGAACCGACTGCGAGAGTTGGGGTTGTTCAGCCTGGAGAAAAGAAGAAAAGAGACCTTACTGTAGTCTTCCAGTTCCTGAAGAGGTCCTACAGGAAAGCTGAGGAGGGACTTTTTACAAGGGCAGGTAGCTATAGAATGAGGGCTAATGGTTTTAAACTGGAAGAGGGTAGATTTAGACCAGATATTAGGAAGAAATTCTTTACTGTGAGGATGGTGAGACACTGGCACACGTTTCCCAGGCAAGCTGTGGATGCCCCCTCCCTGGAAGTGTTCAAGGCCAGGTGGGACGGGGTTTTGAGCAGCCGGGTCTAGTGGGAGGTGTCCCTGCCTGTGGCAGGGGGATTGGGCTGGGGGAGCTTTAAAGTCCCTTCCATCCCAAACCATTTTGTGATTCTATGAATGTGTCCTCTCC